TGATCAAACACAACCAGCTAATTAAGATATTCAGGAGCACTTGATAATTATAGACAGGTGTGTTGGATCAGGGTTGGAACTGAATTCTGCAGGTAAGTAGATCTCCAGAACCAGGTTTGGGCACCCCTGGTTTAGATAATACAAGAAATCAGCTTTTATAATAAATCTGCATGAAGTAATGGAGAAGGACTTGTGCTGTATTGTAATTAACTTTTGCACATTAATAGCATTTCCAAAGTCTAAGACATTTCCAAAAATAAGCAATTTGTCAGTCCACACAAAGGGGTGTGACACAATCACAGCCAATCAGAATGTACTGATGTTTAAAGAACAGTTATAAGTCAAGTCAAGTCAAGTCACCTTTATTTATATAGCGCTTTTAACAATACAGATTGTGTCAAAGCAACTGAACAGCATTAATTAGGAAAATAGTGTCAATAATGCAAAATGACAATAGTAAACACAAATTTTTCAGTTAAAGACAGTTCATCATTGAATTCAGTGATGTCAACATCCAGCTCAGTTTAAATAGTATCTTTGCAATCAAGTCAACGGTATCGCTGGAAATGAAGTGTCCCCAACTAAGCAAGCCAGAGGCGACAGCGGCAAGGAACCAAAACTCCATCGGTGACAGAATGGAGAAAAAACCTTGGGAGAAACCAGGCTCAGTCGGGGGGCCAGTTCTCCTCTGACCAGACTGTTATAAGAAACAGAAGTTAGACCAATGAGATTTCACAGGGGGTGGAGCTACCCACCTTGCAACCACTCAGAACACTCTAGCAAATGTATAGACCTTATGTGCCAGAGAAACAAGTGCACAGCCATCATTCGAATTTTATGTTTGAACTTCCATTTTTGCAGTAGCTCTGTATACTGTGTACCTGTACGGGGTAAATTTTGTTTTTAAAACGTACATAAAAGATTTTTAATATAACATTCCTATAATTTAATATAGCAATGCCTTTCACTCACTGAATTAGCAGTTATCAGTTTCATAAATAAAGACAAAATGAGTGAAAGAAGGCGATTTATGAATGCTGAAGAGGTAGGCTATAAGCACTAAATGCCATGAGCGATGCAGAGTCTGACGGTGGGGAGATAAGTAAAGCGTCCTGTCGGCTCAGCATCTGACGGCGATAAATATATCATATTAAGACGTTTTATCCTAATGTTACTCATAATTGTTCAAAATTTGGATTAATTATTTAATTTTTGTTTTGCCATTTCTATCGTTTATTGTTTGCTTCTGTGGTGCTATTTAGTCTGTCTGTTTCCTGAAGAAGAAACAAAATCTGATCTATGATGTAATCAATAACACAATTTTTTTGATTACCCAAAGTAAGCATAATACAGTGAAATAATATGTTCTTTAACCATTCAAAAACAGCTGTCATGTGCATGGGTAAAATTTACCCGCTGGTGCTTTTAGGCAGTGTTGGGGAAAGTTACTTGCATTACAATATTGCGTTACTCCATAAAAAAAGTAACTAATTACGTTACTTAGTTACTTTTTGTGGAAAGGTTAATAGAATGGGATTAAATACAAAGGATATTTGTGTTGTTTAACATTTAATTATTGCAGGTTTCCGTCATGTTCTGAGTTGCATTATTTTTATCCATTTTGAGGAATACTGAATCTGTGGGGTTTTTTTGTGAGCGAGATGAATTAATGCATATTCATATTTATTTTAGAACTACAGTAACATCTTCTGATTTCTCTCAACATGGGGACAGGAGTGCTGTCAGTCAATAAATTGGGGGGAAAAAAGTAACTTGCATTACTTATTTGAAAAAGTAACTCAGATATTCTCTTGTAAATTAAAAAGTAATGCGTTACTTTATTAGTTACTTGAAAAAAGTAATCTGATTACATAACTCACGTTACTTGTAATGCGTTACCCCCAACACTGCTTTTAGGTATACAGCGACCCCTGGCGGTTCTAGTGTTAAGAGCTGGTGAAGTGGATTTACTTATTGTAGAGTTAACAAATGTTATCATTAACATTGTAATGTTTGAAGCAGATGTCATAACAAATGTCAGTAGCCCATTAAGAATTTAAAACGAACGTTTCATTCATAAATCTGTAAATTTTAGTCCTGTGGAGTTTCGCTCCATCCTTGATAAAAACTCCCCTGCCTGCTGCTTTTTAATAACCCTTAGACCTTGATTATCTTGTTCTGGTGTGTTTGATTAGGGTTGGAGCTGAAGTCTGCAAGACTGTGGCTCTCCAGCATATAGCAGCTTTCTAACAATAACACAGAACACTGCTTAGCAGCGCCATAGCCAGTGCTGGGTAGATTACTTACAAATTGTAATCTGTTACTGATTACAAATTACGTTAAAAAATTGTAGTCAGTAATGTTATCAAGATTACTAATTTTAGTTAATGTATTCTGACTACTTTTAGATTACTTTTGACATAATATTTATAAGGAATGTTTGTCTCTAGAACTGAGGCCGATGCGATACGCATCTCGATACATAGCCAACGATACGATACATTAAAGATACATATGACGCAACTACCGATGTGATATGATTCACCCCAATTATGATGCAGTGCAATCTGATTTCGATTCGATTCAACACAATGCGATTCAAAGCATTATGATGCAATGGAAAAAAAATATGATGCTATGCAATTCAGTATTGTACAGATAATTTGCTTTATTTCTTTGGTTCAGACAGACAGCCATGTTAATCTATATTCTATGTGACTCTCAGGACACTCCTCGGTCTCCATAGTGTTGTAATATGTCATATTCACGTAGCAGCACTTTCTAAATAATAAAAGTATAGTGCATCTACTAATAATTATATATAAATACAGCGGGTAAAATAAGTATTGAACACGTCACCATGTTTCTCAGTAAATATACACTAAAGGTGCTGTTGACATGAAATATTCACCAGATGTCGGTAACAACTCAAGTAATCTATACATACAAAGAAAACAAAACAAATAATTTCAGAAATTAAGCTGTGTAATAAAATGGAATGACACAGGGAAAAAGTAAAAAGAACACATGAAGAAAGGGAGGTGCAAAAAGGCATAGAAAGCCAAGACACCAGCTGAAATCTATCAATAATTAGAACAATAATTAGAAAGCAATCCTGCCCCTTGTCAGTGGAAATAATATTAGCTGATTCAGTCCCAACTGGTGGCCTATAAAAATGTTTCTCATTACCAAGGTGTCACACAAGAAACATCTCATGATGGGTAAAAGCAAAGAGCTCTCTGAAGATCTTCGCAACCTTATTGTTGCAAACCATACTGATGGCATTGGTTACAGAAGGATATTCAAACTTCTGAATGTTCCAGTAAGCACTGTTGGGGCCATAATCTGGAAGTGGAAAGAACATAATTTCACCATAAACCAGCCACGACCAGGTGCTCCTCGCAAGATTTCTGACAGAGGAGTAACAAGAATTATCAGAAGAGTTGTCCAACAGCCAAGGACCACTTGTGGAGAGCTTCAGAAAGAACTGGAATTAGTAGGTAGAAGTAATGCACTCAACCGCCGTGACTTGTATGTACGCTCACCATAAAAGACTCCTTTGCTGCAGAAAAAGCAGGTTGAAGCTCGTTTAAAGTTTGCTGCACAACATTTAGACAAGCCTGTAAAATACTGGGAGAATATAGTCTGGTCAGATGAGACCAAAATTGAACTCTTTGGATGCCATAATACACACCATGTTTGGAGGTCAAATGGCACTGCACATCACCCCAAAAACACCATACCAACAGTGAAGTTTGGAAGTGGGAACATCATGGCTTGGGGCTGTTTTTCAGCATACGGCACTGGCAAAATTAATATAATTTACATTCTTGATAAAAATCTGTTGCCATCTACCAGGATGATGAAGATGAAATGAGGGTGGACATTTCAGCAAGACTGATCCCAAACATACAGCCAAGGAAACTCTTAATTGGTTTCAGAGAAAGAAAATAAAGCTGCTAGAATGGCCCAGCCAATCATCTGACTTGAAGTCTATAGAAAATCTATGGAAAGAACTAAAGATCAGAGTTCATAGAAGAGGCCCACAGAACCTTCAAGATTTGAAGACAGTTTGTGTGGAAGAATGGGCCAAAATCACACCTGAGCAATGCATGCGACTAGTTTCTCCATACAGGAGACGTCTTGAAGCTGTCATTACCAACAAAGGCTTTTGTACGAAGTATTAAATATATTTCAGTAAGCATGTTCAATACTTTTTCCCTGTGTCATTCCATTTAATTACACATAACATAATTTCTGAACATATTTGTTTTGTTTTCTTTGTATGTATTGATTACTTGGGTTGTTACCGACATCTGGTGAAAATGTCAAGACAACAGCACCTTTAGAAATATATTTACTGAGAAAAATGGTGACGTGTTCACCGATGCGAATCGGTGAATCTTACCATCCCTATTGTTTATAGATTTAAATGTTAAATCCAGATCACATGTAAGTAGTTACTACCCAGCACTGATCATAGAAACCACCCATAACCCCTAATATTTCCTCTGGTCTAATTGCTTCCAGAGGTGGTTTGTCACATGGTAACTTTTCTGTCATGACTTGACCCTTTTTTTTTCCAAAAGATGGCACTTCAAGGACAAATATGGTATTCTTTGTGTGATTTCTTGTTTTTTATGACTTGGTGGAGCTGGATGTTACAGGACCTGTTGGAAACATCCTTCATGCTGTCATGCTAAACAGCACTAATGATGAATAATGATGAACATCTCTGCATGTCCAGCCTCGTACAGGCAGGAAATGATGAACAGAGACAGTAAGAAATGGAGAGAGACAATTGGACAAAATAAACAGAAACTGAAAAAAGAGCAAAGAACTACAAATTCAAAGTTGGTTACACCGACATAAAGATGGCAGACAGAACAATATCTAAATAAAAAAGAGGAAAAGCTACAAAAAAGCTAAAAGTGTAAAATCAGGCCAGTGTGTCTCCAAGATGCTCAGTAAGAAGGTTTGTGTGATGATTTGAATTGCAGCCAGCGCCCCCGCCTCACCCAGAGAGATGATCAGCCTCAAGGACAGGAAGAGTGACTACGACTCCACTGGAACCAACGCCAGTTACCATGGAAACAAAGGAGACCACACTTCCAGAAAAGACACAATGGCAGGTAGGTCTAACTTCAGCATGAGGAGGAAGATCAGAGTTTTATTTGAAGCACTTAACAGCAAGTAAACTAGATGTACACTTACAGAACTGTGAGTTCCACTGTTTTCTGAGCTTTTTATGTAAAATTACTTTTGAATGGACAAAAAAATTATAAGAATAACAAAGTCTAAACTCTACCATTCATGAAAACATCCATGGTGAATTATTTTTCAACTGCTGCTGCAGAATGTAAGGTTTTACACAAGAGAATGTGAACTTGAATATTTACAATAATTTTGCTTAAATTAAAAATAAGGCAACATAGATAACAGTGATTTTATGTCCATGAATTAGAATATTTTGTATTTATTGTTATATTGGTGCATATAACTTATATCAATGTTGATATATATTTATATAATGAAAATATATTAATATTTTAATTGTATGTATTTATTGATAATATTAATATGCATTAATTTGTATTTATATTAATAATTTTCATTTGTACTGTAAATATTAAGGGGGGGCCACAACATTATTAGCAGGATTAATCTAAGATCCATTATTAATTTAATGTATTGTGTATTAAAATGTGTCATAATATACAAATCAAAATATGTTTGATACTGAAATGTTGTATTTTAATATATGTGAGAAAAAAACAACACTGTCTGGGTTTGAATTCTTGGCCGGCCGGCCACATGTAAGTGTTATTAGGATGAAGTGTGTTTACGGTCCATCAAGCTTTATCCCTGAGTCACATTTGGTTGAAATAGAGCCCAGAGTTCCTTGCTACAGCCCTGCCAGAGTATCTTATAAAAGGATGGATTTGTTTCACTCTCAATAAGTACAATTTCCAGAATTTTTCAGTTGTTTAATGCTTGATTTATTTAAAAAAAAAACATTCTCTGCACATTCACACTCTCCCTTTCATCCCGCAGTTCAAACCTCCTGTGGAACATCCACATTGTTCCGCAACTCGTACGAGACTTCAAATGACGAGATCAAACACAACCAGGTGAGCAATGAATCAGCCTGAGACGACTTAACAAACCAGGGTCAAACAGGGACTGCAGTTCCAAGGCTGCATGAGAAATATGTCTCCAATTGTGGAAATCCTTGCGAAAATCAGACACCGTTTACGTTTACTACAACTGATATGTGGCTATGTTGGGATAAGTCATTAGCGAATGTTTTCAACACAAGGCAGCTGTCTATCTACCAATCCAGAACTGTGTTGGCAAACAAAAGGCTGAAGATCTATTCGTTCTTGCATAGACCTGTCAGATGTTGTTTATTTGACTTTGTGAGCCGTCATGCTATGCTAATGAATCGCAACTATATGCTTCCAAGTGCTAGGCACTTTGGCCATATAGAAGACATATTACTTCTACTTGACAAGGTTCATCATGGTAAATTTTCAGATTTCATATGGATAAAGTTTGCCAGATGTCCCTGGCACACTTCCGAACCACACCGTATGTTGAGTCAGTCGACAGAAATGCTTTCCCAGACGAGCAGCTGCGAGGAGGCTGGGTACTGATAAGCCTGGCTTCCACATGGATCTTTCCTTTCTGTAGCTGGAGAGCATTCAGCTCTGAATCTTTTTCAATTAGTAACATCTCATTTTCTGCTTCAGATCTCTCTGTTATCGAAAGCAGCTCTGAATGGACAGAATAATGTGAATTTAAAGGGTTAGATCACTCAAAAATGAAATGTTTGTGATCATTTACTCACCTTGTGTTGTTCCGAACTCACCTGGCTTGCTTCCACAAAAGGAGATGTTAGGCAGAATGTCTGCATATTCCGTTTTTGTTTTCATGAAATATTAAATGGGTCATGAAATGCAGTTTCAGATTTTTGTATTATGCTTCTCAAGGTTAGTTTTTTGCACCCAAAACAGTCCAATATTTGTAAAAATAATCATTTTCCCTCCTCATTTCACTCTCTGTGAAAAACACTCAATTTCAAGGGGCGTTACCTCTCGCAGATACAGATGTAAATGCCCAATGCTGCGACTGGCTAAATTCACTGCACCATATCCATAATAAAAAACAATCTGGTGGGGGGTCAGAATTCAGAACAACACCAGCAGCATGTTTAGAATAATTCATAAAACAGTCCGTTGTGAAATGTGAAGAACAAATCAAAACTTTATCTCTCAGGCACATCATTAAAAATAAACTGAAGTCATGCATTTCTAATGCTCAGATCTTTAGGAGGCTATGCAAGGGATGTGCAGTTTCTTTACATCCACTGACAGAACAACGTCTGAGTTTGACAGTCTTATTCCTCGGATTGCTTATGATGATGCAGATTAAGGGGCGTCTCGAGGAGAATTGTGACAACACCATTTTCCAAATTTCAAATCTGAATCAAATCTGTTCATAAGGGTATAGAATAATTCATGGTTTAAACTGGTGAGTTAGTTTTGAATTTTGAAACTGGCAATATTTTAATTCTCCATTTCATGACACCTATAAGTGTTCTTTGCGAAGACATTTTGCTATAACAGCAGGAAATTATAGAGTATTGTAAAAACTCTGACAGCAGTGAATTCATAAATACATACAGGGCCAAACATTATTGATTGGTTTGTAATTTTCAACCAATTTTTACTGATGCTACCAAGACTATTACAAGTCATTGTTGCAATTTCAGCAAAAACTCAAAGATAATTTTACCTAGCTGAGTTTAAAAAGTTGACAAAGAGAATTTGTCACTGAAAACTAAATGTTTGTGTTTGCAAGGCCGTAATGTGTGTACAGTATCAAATAATGTGTGATAAAGCACTGGGCCATCCTTATTGTTGAGCCTTGTACAATATAAAAAAACATCGGCTCCAAATCAATGTGTTTGGAAGCACAACAGCTGCCTCTTCCTCCCAAATTTGAGATATGAGAAGTTGATCAACTTCACTTACAAATCCTTCTTTCACCTCAGGTCCCAGTGCCGCCCACACCACAGGAGCCACCGCGCAATGACTACGAGGCGTACCCCATCTATCAAAACTCCACCAGGGACTTTGAGGAGCCATTTTTTGAGGATCAGGTCCATCGCCCACCTCCCGCCACCGATCTGAATATGCACCTGGGACTCAAGTCCACCGGGAATTACGTGGACTTCTACTCTGCCGCCCGGCCCTATAGCGAACTCAACTACGAAACGAGTCACTACCCCGCGTCCCCCGACTCTTGGGTTTAGGACTTCGAGCACGTAGAGGCCGAGAAACTGCATGTGCATGCATATCGCAAAACATTTTTCAGCGAGTTTTGTTAGTCTAAGCTGGTTCCATGGCGAATATGAGCGGAGTTGAGCAAAAAAAAGAAAAAAGAAAGAAAGCGAGAGAGAAAAGAAGGCCTTGACAGAGAAAGAATGCATGAGATGAGAGAGAGCACATACTTTAAAGAGAAGTGAAAGCTTAACCTTTGGAGTAGAAAGTGGGTTTGTATTGAAAGGTATTTGAAAAGTGTAGAGGGAAAAAAACAGAAATATAGCAGAGGAAGGCGAGGTATGGAAGCACAAGAAAATTAAGTTTGTAAAACGAGCTACGGGAACAGCTTTTCACTATTTTCAAAACTTCCTTTTCATTTATTTGGCGTCACGGTGGATCAAAAGCTTTTTCTTTACACATTTTCCACACTATTTTTATTTGATCTTTTTTAATTCGATGTAAAGTATTTGGTGTACATTAAAGAGATGCATAATGCATTGTGTAATTACACAGACCACTCGGTTCTTCCCATGGCTTTGGGTATTTGTTTTACAGTACAAGAAAAAGACAAAAAAAAACAAAAAAAGAATCCTCTGAGAGATGTTTAATCTTCAGTGTCCCTTCCCCAAAATTACATTCGAAGAACAAGGATGTAAATGCCAGTATCGTTCGTTCTGAAAACGTGAATATGTCTGTGGCAACTAAAACAAAAGCAGACGAAGACCGGAGCATCGTTCCACTCTCCTCTCCTCGTCAATCAAGTGCTTTCTCACTGCCTACAAAAATAGATGTAGATTTTTGACAGATTCTTTTTTCAATTTCACTTTTTTCTTTCTTGACTCAGTGTTGAATAAAACTAAATGCGGCTATTTGTCATCCATATTTGCAGGAAAACTGTCTGTTTTAGACCTTGATCTCAGTTTTCCGTGCTAAGTGACTGTGCCAAATTTAAAAATCTCTTCAGTAAGCACTGGAGACATTAAGTTTTTCAGTTAGTTACTTCTTCGATTTGTACCTGTGTTTTTTGTTCATAAGTGTGTTTTACTGGAATTAAGCGACATCTAGAAAACACTGGAATACTACCAGGAGGGCAAAACGTAACTTTGCGAGCTTAATTCCCTCCAAAGATGTACAAAAAAACCCTGTCTCTCAATGTTAGTTGAGTGTGTGCTGTATGTCGATCAGTGTTTGCTATGAGAGGCTTTGTTTCTGACAGGTGGCTTCTTCTGTTTGACTTGACCAGAGATGATGAACTGCTACACTGAGATGTTAATAGAGAATGATAAATATATAAATATGAATATAAATATAGATCTATATAATTTTTATTTGTTGATGTCAGTGTCACTGAAAGCAACAAACCAGGAAAGACTTGTACAAAAAAAGAAAAACGATTCTGTTTACCTTCATGTTCTGATTCCAACAGAGAAAAGAGAAAATGAAACTTGAAATGTTGACCTGGTCCCAGTTGTGTTGTTACCAAGCTACTAAAATAATCACGTTGGATTTGGATGATGTTCTGATGTCAGGACAATAAATTACTCTTTGTGATTTGGAGCCGTTTTCTTATGTCCAGTAGATATGCCACGAAATCAGTTTCACATCCGAACAATTCTGCATTTATTCTAGTAAGTTTCGCCACACAATGGCCATGTACACGCTGCAGCTAAATTCGGTTGTCAATTCACCTCTTAGTGCTTTTTGTACACACACAGTTCAGTACTTCACTTTAGTAAGGAAGTGACAACCACATTCTACAACCGAATTGACTTCTGAAAAATGCAGGTAGTGACAACCACATTTGCAGAAATTCATGCTGTGTGTACAGAACCGAACTGAACAATTAGTTTTTAATGACGTATTTAAATGCGTATCAGAGTTGTGGTGCAAGAAATCACAGCGAAGGAGGTACGTCTTGACTCAGTGTTGCCAAATCTGGCTATAAAAAAAGAATAAGAACAAGCCTATAATAAACTTAAATAAACCAATCATGTTATCTTGGAAATAAACAACATACCAAAATATCGCAACCTGCACGTGCCTACTTTATTATCTCCATGAAATTAATCGCTTTATGAGCCAAGCCCAAAGACGCTTAATAAGCGATGCTTTTCGTAACTGAGCTCACTCTGCAAAGCAACCATTCAAACTTAAAACACGATGGCTCTGTAAACTGTGGTTTAGTTAAAATCGCAAAACATAACTTTGGTCGCTGTAATATTATATAGTTAAAAATAGCGGATAACAAAAACATGACGCCAGAATGCTGCTATGGTTAGGCTACTATAGTCATCGCAGTTTCGAGAGCGAGTTCTGTTCCATACGCAAAAAAATTATAATAATTTGGGGATTCACTCCTGTATTTAAATGTATTTAACCTTCTGGCCCTCTTCAGTCATTTTTGACCGAAACATTTTATATTTTGAAATTTTAAAAATCTTAGCTTCATCGGAATGAGATGACACTTGGTGACTTTTGTCACATTAGCAATCTGAACACACGAAAAAATCATGGACATGATTCGGATATGTTAAAGGGTCAAAAAAAATAGTCACACTTGACTTCTTCGCGGACAAAAATGACCGACATAGTAAATGAATGGGAAATACGAAAACATTTTCATTTCTGTTCTGAAGTTTTATTAACATTTATTGGATTACATTGAATAAAATATCAATTAATTACTAAATGTTTGTATAAAGTGTTTTGAATTATCACTATCCATTCCTTATTTTGTTAGATTTTTTAATTATCAAATACTGAGTAACAAAAATGCTTTCTATGTGTTCCCTTTCTAACAAGATTTTAATGTTTGACTGTAAAACCTGATACTTATCTAACCAAAAATATCTAAACCTTGACAAAAAGTAGTCTTTTCGAATGTCTAGATATATATCTAAATGCAAAACCTAAAAAAATGAGGAAATTATGTCTAAAAACCAACGGGAATCCAAAAGCCTTTTACAAAAGTTTTTATTTTTTAATGCCTCCAGATGGTTCAATTCTCACTACAAAAAATGGATTTTAAATGCCTTCACTCTATTTTGATGTGAAATATTGCATTTATTAAAAAATAGTAAAGAAATAAAGAAATAAAAAATATATATTAATTCTAATGGAGAATATAGCTCATTAAAATTGTATAAATATTGCATAGTATCATAAAATTCCCTCAAAATCATAAATAATAATCAAAAAATATTATTGAACAAAAATATATTACATTGATTTTCCTGGGGGGAAAAAAAAAAGTTACATTTCAAGGCTTCGGTCACTTTTGACCGCAAAGGAGGCAAGTGTGACTCCTAAACGAAGAGGGCCAGATTAAATGCTTGTCACCAGTGTTGGGAAGGTTACTGTGGAAATGTAGGCCTAATAGGTTACAGATTACAAGTTTCCCTATTTAAAATGTAATAAGTAGTGTAATATCAATTACTTTATTAAAATAATGTAACTGATTACATTTGATTACTTTTTGATTACTTTTCTAAATTTCTAACAAATGTTTTTTCAACTGTTAATCATTTTGAAACATTTAAAGCAGGCAGGGTTAACCTCACAGAGGTTATCACTGATTACGGTCAGACGTTCAAAATACTTCATCACTTAAATTAAGATTATAATCATTTCAAATTAAAGCACAGCCGCCACAGCATCAGACTTTAGCTCCTCTTTTTACTTAAAGATCGTTCTGAGTTTAAATACAGATTTTAAATCATAAGACATAGTTTAATAGCTAGGCCTATGATACTGTTTTTGAAATCAAATGTTTGCATTACTATGACAAGAAACACTGGCATCTAACAATGCCTTGGGGGAAAAAAACAGCTAATCTTAAAAAATAAAGCATATACATAAAACCATATAGGAAATAAAACAAGCTAGTTATTAAATAAGCATGTGCACTATTCTGTGTCCTAAACTCAAACACTGGTGTCTCATATTTTAGAGCAGTCAATGCAATTTAGGAAAGAACTCAATCATATCTGTGTGTGAAAATATTCAGATGTAACCCCCTTTGTAATCTTTAACAGTTTCATAAGTAACCATAATTTAATTACACAATTTTTCTCAGTAATTTAACAGATTACAGTTTATTTTGTAATTAAATTATGTAATTCCGTTACATGTAACTAGTTACTCCAACACTAGTTGTCACTCCTGACAATTTAAAGGTGGCCAATAATGTAGGGCAGTTTGATTCTAAACATTGTGTTTTATTTATTATTTATTTATTTGGACAAAAATTAATTAAAAATAATTATTCATGAACACACTTAAAGGATAAGTTCAACCAAAATGCAGCAGGTTATCTAAAACAATGTCGAATATTTTCACGTGTAAGTATCCTTTGTTCATTGCCATGCCAACCGCTTATGACTGTTTATGAGTTTTTTTGTGTATAAACAGGAAACCGAGAACTGTTGTTGTCAAGTCACTTCATTAATAATGTCACCCCCCTCCTCCCCTTTAAACCATAACATTTCTGCAAGCCTAAATTGTCCACATTAATGTGGTTTTGTATTAGGTTAATGGTATTACTGTATGCGTTTTATATATTCATAATAGCATTGTATATGTCTTTTAAACATTTGGAGACTCACCAAGTAGGATTACAAAGAACCTCTGGCCAGATACCCACAATTCCTTTTATTGATCCGCTCTTCCACCACTTCCGGGTGCGGTATTGTCAGATCCACAGCCATATGAATGTTCTATCACCGTGATGAAAGAGACTACGGAGCGTTCCCTAGGAAACAGGAAAACAGAAGCAAAAGATGCTGGCTTTGAATCCTAACCATAATCCATAGCTCAGTGGAGAGCACAGTTTCAGAGCATTACATCCCCAGCAGGCTTTGCATGATGTACAAAGGGTCTCTTGCGCCGATTTCGGCAACCCAACAATTCGCACATGGACACACAGACGTAAAGAGAGGGCCTGTACCTGTTATTACCTGTAGCGGGAGAGGAAATAAATAAGCACACAGGATGGATTCTCCTCTTAGAGAAGGAGGATGTGGCGGCTCATGCCTGGCGAGGTATTATGGGGATTAAGTAACAGGCACCTTAAATTTAGCCCTTTGAGACGGACTCTATCTGCTCATTTCCTGTCAGTATGAGTATTGTCATTACTTCTCTGCTTTCAGGGACAGAGTTCCTCCATCCAGCACAGGAGAGACAGAAATTAGATGTGTGTTTTGGTCTGTGGCACAAGAATGAGGGTCCTGATGGTCATGGCAATGCAAGGGAATTTTAAAACGGATTCCGAAGTAAAAGTCATGGAAAAGCCACATATTTTTCTCGTTTTTGCTCTGCTCTGTAATATTGCATCAGCTAGATATAGTAGCTGGAGAAAAACTTGCCCTCGAGCGATCGTGATAACATCAGCCTGTCCGCTGAGGGTTTTATTGGAGACATTTGTACACTAGTAAGTGTCATTGTTGAAATCTATTTTTTTTTTAAGATTTTTTTTCCTGACATACAACTGGAAATCTACCTCAGCGATCTCTAATAAAATTATTCCTTACAAGCAAGTACACACGAGTTGACTGGGAATGTCGGAAAAGTCAATGAAATGTATTGATCACTGAATATTATCCATACACTTCAGTTCTTAAGTTTGGGTTAAGTAAGATTTGTAATGGTTTTAATGACCAAGGCTGCATTGATTTGATTAAAAATACAGTAAACACAGTAATACTGTGAAATATTATTACAATGCAAAACAGCTTTTTTATATATATTTTAAAACGTAATTTATTCCTGTGATGGCAAAGCTGAATTTTCAGCAGCCATGTCTCCAATCTTCAGTCTCACATGATCCTATAATTCAGTTTAATATGCTGATTTGGTGCTCAAGAAACATTAACTATTGTTATTAATTGTGAAAATGGTTGTGTTGCTTAATATTTTTATGGAAACCCTGATCATTTCTTTTTCAGGATTCTTTGATGAATAGAACGTTCAAAAGAATAGCATTTATTTGAAATAGGAAACTTGTTTTTACTGTCACTTTTGATTAATTTAATGTGTTCTTGATGAATACATGTATTAATTCTTTCAAAATCTTAACTGACCCCCTTTGAACGGTAGTGTATAATGGCAGAAGAAATATTGTATGTAATAAACCCTTAAAAATAAGGGTTATTTATTAGCATCTGGTTCCACAAAGAAACTTTAACATACCTTCCCTTGCACAAAAGGTTCTTTAATCCCCCTTTTGAACCCTTTATTTTAAAGTATTGTGCAATCTGTATGCTTGTTAAATAAAGGTTCTTTATTGGCATCGATGGTCCTAACCTCCAACATCCAGAAAACCTTTCAAATGCAGAAAAGTTTCTTTATACTGGAAAAAGGTTCTTTAGATTTTTTAAATGTCCTTCAAAATGGTTCATTTAAGAACTGTTGACTGAAAGGTTCTTTGGGGAACCAAAAAAGGTTCTTGTATGGCATCGCTGCAAAAAAAAATAAAACCCTTTGGAGCCTTTATTTTTCAGAGTGTATCAGGACCCTCACTGACAAGCAAAGTACTGAGGGAATGAAAAATTGAATTTTTTGGCTTCAGTCTTGCATATCATAAAACAAAAGTCTCCTCA